AAAATGTCATGCACGTTTTAATACAAAATGTCATGCACGTTTTAATACAAAATGTCATGCACGTTTTAATACAAAATGTCATGCACGTTTTGGTACAAAATGTCATGCACGTTTTAATACAAAATGTCATGAACGTTTTAATACAAAACGTCATGCACGTTTTAATACGAAACGTCATGCACGTTTTAATACAAAATGTCATGATCGTTCATTAATACAAAATGTCATGCACGTTTATTACAAAATGTCATGCACGTTTTGGTACAAAATGTCATGCACGTTTTACAAAATGTCATGCACGTTTTAATACAAAATGTCATGCACGTTTTTACAAAATGTCATGCACGTTTTAATACAAAATGTTATGCGCGTTTACAAAATGTCATGCACGTTTTAATACAAAATGTCATGCACGTTTTAATACAAAATGTCATGCACGTTTTAATACAAAATGTCATGCACGTTTTACAAAATGTCATGCACGTTTTAATACAAAATGTCATGCACGTTTTAATACAAAATGTCATGCACGTTTAATACAAAATGTCATGCACGTTTTAATACAAAATGTCATGCACGTTTTAATACAAAATGTTATGCGCGTTTTAATACAAAATGTCATGCAAGTTTTAATACAAAATGTCATGCACGTTTTAATACAAAATGTTATGCGCGTTTTAATACAAAATGTCATGCACGTTTATACAAATGTCATGCACGTTTTGGCACAAAATGTCATGCACGTTAATACAAAATGTCATGCACGTTTTAATACAAAATGTCATGCACGTTTTACAAAAGTTATGCGCGTTTTAATACAAAATGTCATGCACGTTTTAATACAAAATGTCATGCACGTTTTGGTACAAAATGTCATGCACGTTTTAATACAAAATGTCATGCACGTTTTAATACAAAATGTTATGCGCGTTTTAATACAAAATGTCATGCACGTTTTAATACAAAATGTCATGCACGTTTTAATACAAAATGTCATGCACGTTTTAATACAAAATGTCATGCACGTTTTAATACAAAATGTCATGCACGTTTTAATACAAAATGTTATGCACGTTTTGGTACAAAATGTCATGCACGTTTTAATACAAAATGTCATGCACGTTTTAATACAAAATGTTATGCGCGTTTTGATACAAAATGTCATGCAAGTTTTAATACAAAATGTCATGCACGTTTTAATACAAAATGTTATGCGCGTTTTAATACAAAATGTCATGCACGTTTATTACAAAATGTCATGCACGTTTTAATACAAAATGTCATGCACGTTTTACAAAATGTCATGCACGTTTATTACAAAATGTCATGCACGTTTTGGTACAAAATGTCATGCACGTTTACAAAATGTCATGCACGTTTTAACAAAATGTTATGCGTTTACAAAATGTCATGCACGTTTTAATACAAAATGTCATGCACGTTTTAATGCAAAATGTCATGCACGTTTTAATACGAAATGTCATGCACGTTTTCGTATAAAATGTCATGCACGTTTTCAAAACATGCACGTTTTACAAAATGTCATGCACGTTTTAATACAAAATGTCATGCACGTTTTAATACAAATGTCATGCACGTTTTAATACAAAATGTTATGCGCGTACAAAATGTTATGCACGTTTAATACAAAATGTCATGCACGTTTTAATACAAAATGTTATGCACGTTTTAATACAAAATGTCATGCACGTTTTAATACAAAATGTCATGCACGTTTTTGTACAAAATGTCAGGAACGTTTTGGTACAAAATGTCATGCACGTTTTAATACAAAATGTTATGTGCGTTTTAATACAAAATGTCATGCAAGTTTTAATACAAAATGTCATGCACGTTTTGGTACAAAATGTCATGCACGTTTTAATACAAAATGTCATGCACGTTTTAATACAAAATGTCATGCACGTTTCAATACAAAATGTCATGCACGTTTTAATACAAAATGTTATGCACGTTTTAATACAAAATGTCATGCACGTTTTAATGCAAAATGTCATGCACGTTTTAATACAAAATGTTATGCGCGTTTTGGTACAAAATGTCATGCACGTTTTAATACAAAATGTCATGCACGTTTTAATACAAAATTTGATGCACATTTTGGTACAAAATGTCATGCACGTTTTAATACAAAATGTCATGCACGTTTTAATACAAAATGTCATGCACGTTTTGGTACAAAATGTCATGCACGTTTTGGTACAAAATGTCATGCACGTTTTGGTACAAAATGTCATGCACGTTTTACAAAATGTCATGCACGTTTTAATACAAAATGTCATGCACGTTTTAATACAAAATGTCATGCACGTTTTAATGCAAAATGTCATGCACGTTTTAATACAAAATGTTATGCGCGTTTTACAAAATGTCATGCACGTTTTAATACAAAATGTCATGCACGTTTTAATACAAAATGTCATGCACGTTTTAATACAAAATGTCATGCACGTTTTAATACAAAATGTCATGCACGTTTTAATACAAAATATCATGCACGTTTTAATAGAAAATGTCATGCACGTTTTAATACAAAATGTTTGCGCATTTTAATACAAAATGTCATGCAAGTTTTAATACGAAATGTCAGGCACGTTTTAATAAAAAATGTCATGCACGTTTTTGTACAAGAAAGCAAGAACACTGGACTATCATCTCCTTCTAGAAATACATATGTCATGTTTTTATGTTTTAAGCGCTCTCTGAGCGATATTTTTGTCCGGAATGATGAAATGTAGAAAACACAAGTTATTGGGGCCTCAGAATCACTTGTATTCACTCCGCATGCGCTTGATACGACCAGACTTCAAGCAAAAATCATGCAGAGGCGAAAAACGTGAAAATGAAGGAGGTAAACAGAAGAGTGTTCAGTTTATATCTTAGTCAAAAAGCCAAATTCCATGCAATTTTTACTCATGCATACTGTCGAAATCGAGTTTTATTTGCGTGCATTAATGTCCCAAGGCATGTCCGACATCTCTTTACGATTTCGTTCTACAAAAACAGAACTTCGGTAAAATGAAAGGACAGGGAAGTCTAGCATAATACAATCATATACCAATACAAATAATTATATAGGCATTGAGTTTTAATCCGTCTTTCCCTTTCAAAACGAGCATTCCCTTTGGGCAACCCTGTCCGAAAAACGAATAGGCCAGCCTGGAAAGTTAGTTTCAGTCATAAAGTTCGAATTCATTTCTATATATCAAAACTATTCTAGTTTCGTCCACCCCGACTGTCCGTAAACAAAGTACAAACGTGTTTTTTCAAGTCACAAATGCAAAATACACATATACTAATAGAACAATACCTATTATTCGCTGCGAGCAAGCCTTTACGTTTCTCCTTTCCCATCTTTCGGCGCCGTAGTTCGTTCTGAAATCAAATAAGCAAGGAAAAACTAAATTAAAGTAACAGCTCACTTGCATTGGACATTTTCAATCGAAATATACAAGATAAAGCAGTAAAAATCGGCAAGAATATGACTCCATTCGCTCACGTCTTCCCACGCTATTCAAATCAACACAGCGATCAGTAAATTTGTTTGCAAAGCCAAAGATCAAGCCAAAAGATGTTCAAACCAACTATCACCATGTACCTTAGTAAGCAAGACTCTTCCAACTTTTCCTGAACTTCTTCGACTGATGCTTCCTTTCGAGACTGCAAACACTGAGTTTCGTCTAGATTCAAGCGCCTTTTATTACTTCAACGACAAAGAAAATTCCAACGGACAATTTTAGCATTGACAACAATAGATAATCAACTAACTCATGCCAGACTTGTCCGGAATGGATATAAATTAGCCAAATAAAATGTTTTGCATATTTCTATTGTCCGTTGTAAGTGATTAGCAAAATTCCGCTCCGTGAAGCGATTAATGGATATAACTCTTAGTTTGATTTAAAAGCCTTCTCTTTTCGCGTTAATCTTTTCAAATAAAACTACAGGGTGTCTCAAAAAAAACGCAACCATTTATTTTCTAAAATTCATATTGTTCATAAGCTCAATAGATTTTACGCCCCTGGGATTTTAAAATGGCTTCTAATCGTACAGTTCAACTGCTAATAGTCAAATCAGCTAAACTAATAATGGTGCAGCTAACAACCGAACGAGTTTTTATTGTCGTGCATGATAACTTGAGTGCTAACTGTCGACCTTGTCAAATAAATTGTAAATAACATTTTACTCGTTAAATAGTTTCAATTCAGCTCGTTGGTTTACGCACCCGACTTTGTTTACCGACGATTGTGCCGCTAGAATATGATTGCGTTTTTTTTATAAACCCTGTATAACAACTTTTTTCTCGGTACCTTCTTTAACGCTATCTTAACGTAAAAAATGATCATCATTGGCCATTGCAGGCAGAATCAGAGCTCGAAACTTTTCATAACCTTGTACGCAGAGTATTTCATATTGAAAACAAATAATACAACAATTATGTCAATAAAGCTGGAGATAAATGTAAGAGTAAAGACACACATATTACAGACACATTCCAGTTCGCCCAATGCAAGCACACTTTACCAAATTATGCTAAGAAACCGGCAAATAAAGACAGACAACACAAAATTGAAAAATACGACGATTGAAAAAAAATTATCCTAACTGCATCATAGTCATCATAGTATTTTATGTATATAAATATTACAAAGTGAAATAAATAAACGTATAGATTAAAAATGACTATCTACGAATTTGACTAGTGTTGGAAAACGTTATCTATAGTGACCATTAAGTGTTGGAGCAGTTCACCAGCAGTGCATGCTCATAGGTGCAATGAGAAAAGATTGAAGTTCAATAATATTGCGAGATCATTGTAAAAACATGCTCCAAAACTGTCGAACAGTGTTCTATTGTGGAAATTGATTTGCGAAGATATTATGTGAGGTTTTTTCAGTCTATCTCCTCCAAATTAGATTTAGGAAAAAATGAAGTTCTATTTTGGTGAGATCTCAAAAAAAATCCTAGGTGAAGTGATTTCATTCAAAAGTCGGTTGTTTATAAGCGTCTGATTTGCACCCACATTTCTGACAACTAAATTCAAATTCACGTTTTGTTATTTCAGCGCCACGTTTGCGAGTCAGACCTGTTTCATCCAGACTCAGCTCACACATATCAAGATCATCTGTGCCCGCGACCAGGACAACGTTCACTCCGTTCGGGTGTATCTCCAGCTGGCGGGCTATCCATTGCCCGTCAAAATGGGCGAACCAGTACCCGCGCTTCTTGAAGTCGTTGTCACGATACTCGTCACCGGGCTTCACAAAGGGAACGCGGAAATATCGCTGTGGTCGACGCGGGGGAAGTCTGGAAGTTGGCTTACTAACGCTTGCGTGACTTGCAGCTAAAACGAGAAATTAAACGTTTGAGAACTGATACAGAGCTATATCCAGTATGAAAAAAGTTAATTTAGTAAGAGATGATCCTTACTGGACCTCTAGGAAGAACAGTTTAGAACTGATAGAGCTATCCAGTATAAATAAAGTTAGTTTAGTTTAGGTTTCCTCCGGTAACACTGGATCAATAAGAGATGATCCTTACTGGAACTCTAGGAGGAACAGTTTAGAACTGATAGGGCTATCCAGTATAAATAAAGTTAGTTTAGTTTAGGTTTCCTCCTGTAGTAACAAGAGTTCAGAACTGATAAATGAACTTGTTAAAATATAAGCATGTAATGTTGATATTAACTATTTCCCAACCTTCTTCCACGACCTCTTGAGGTGCTCTTTGATCACCAGCACTTTGACCCGTCGACTTCGATGCCTTATTTTTATTTTTCCACTGATGATAAACCTTAAGGCGGCGATGGAACTCTTGTTTACAAGCTTCTAATAACTCGACATCTAGAAAAACAAAACAGAAGTCCATATTTTTATTCAAAACTAAACTTTCCACAGGAACCAAGTAATGACAACAACACATACCGCACGAGGTGTTGATGGTGTCTCTTAACTCAGCGTATTTCCATTTACTCAGGTCATATTTCTTATTCGGATCTTTCAAGGAAGCCGCTCTGTTGGAAAATAAGTTCATTTTTTAGTATCTTGTTTGTGATAGCTGATCAGAATAAAGTATGTTTAGGTTTTCTCCTGCATGTAGTAACGCTGGATCAATAAGAGATGATCCTTACTGGACCTCTAGGAAGAACAGTTTAGAACTGATAGAGCTACTCAGTATAAATAAAGTTAGTTTAGTTTAGGTTTCCTCCTGTAGTAACACTGGATCAATAAAAAGAGATGATCCTTACTGGACCTCAAGGAAGAACAGTTTAGAACTGATAGAGCTATACAATATATAAAATATTTACCTTATAATAGCTTTTTGTTCCTCCATGGGTTCTACATTCGAGTTGGATTCCTTAAATGAGAACAAATTAGTATAGGCCTAATTCTGTCTAACAGAAAATGAACATAAACTTCCACACAGTTGAACAGTTAAACGGAAGCATTTAGTAGTATTAATCGCCAAAGAAATTGAAAAAATATTGAGATATAATACCTTTGCCAAACGCAAGGCCAGTTCGTGATCTAATCTCTCTTGTTCAAGAGCAGCTTGTCTGAAATAATAAAATTTTACATTGAAAAAAATATCAGATTTAAAGCATTACGTATGAGTGTATAAAAAGGACTCGGGAATTTTTTTGGAAAACCTCGCAAAGATGTTTATGGTAGCAAAAATAAGTTCATACCGAGATTTTGCCTCTTCTTCCTCTTTCCTTAATTGTTCCTCGATTTCTTTCTAAAAAACCCAGAAAAGATTCACGGTAAAAATATTGCCAGAGGTGATCAAGTATGGTACGACATTAATACATAAAAAGTTTTGAAAATATAATTTTATTTATTTATCGTAATAATGCTCAAAACCTGTTTCGCTTTTTCAAGTTCCCTCCGTTTCATTTCTTCCTCTTCTGCCCTTCGCCTTTCGGCTTCCATTTCAGCTTTACTAAAACACACAAAAAAAATGTAAACATTTAAATATCGTACACAGCCAGCGCTCATATTTCAGCCAATCAGTGCTCGCAGGGTTTTCAAAAAGAAACCATTCTGCAGTATTTAATCCATCATATCTTTTGTTATTCTTTATGAAAATAGCCGAAATTTCGTGAACATGTTTAGTTATAAGAACTGCAATAAATGTGACATATACTTTAAGTGATATTAAGTTGTTTCAACCGAGAATTTGATTTTTGTTTAGTTTGACAAATAGTCAAATCTATTTCCGCCATTTTGGATCATCTGGTGTGAGTTTAGGAGGAAAAAGAATATGATATCGTTGATCATTTTAAACTTACATTCTTGCTTCTTCTTCAAGTTGTTTTCTTCTCCTTTCCTCCTCTTCTCGCCTTTTTCTTTCAGTTCCATCTGTTCTTTGATTTTTCTCAACTTCTCTTCTTCCTCCCTCTTCTCCCTCCCTTTTTGCTTCTGAAAATCTACGACTTGTTTGTCCACCTTCGCCACAAGATACGGTGGAGATTCTCGATCTGATCACGGCTCATTATCGTGTTCTAAAATGCAGCACCAAGAGATGATTAGATCGACAATGATACATAACAGACGGGCCTTCAACAACACTCCTTGATAAGTTCCTGAGGCAGCATTTCAACACGTCTACTAACCTAGATTTTCTGTATAGCAGCCGATATTTCCTTTTCGATATCAGAAATCTGTTTGGTCAGAACATTCTTGTCGGTTTTTAAACCTGAAACTACATTGAAACAACGAGGAAACCGTCAGTGGAGGTGTTGTAGAATCACCCCCAACCGTTACTACAGGAAGAAACCTAAACTAAACTAACTTTATTTATACTGGATATACTTCTATCAGTTCTAAACTGTTCTTCCTAGAGGTCCAGTAAGGATCATCTCTTATTGATCCAGTTTTAATACAGGAGGAAACCTAAACTAAACTAACTTTATTTGTACTGGATAGCTCTATCAGTTCTAAACTGTTCTTCCTAGAGTTCCAGTAAGGATCATCTCTTATTGATCCAGTGTTATTACAGGAGGAAACCTAAACTGAACCAACTTTATTTATACTGGATAGCTCTATCAGTTCTAAATTGTTCTTCCTAGAAGTCCAGTTTAATCATAATCATTCCTTTATATCTGTGAAAAACAAAACACATGGTCTAATAAGTTTGTGGTTCATTAACTAATTATGAATATTTGAAATAGTTGGCCTTATAAGAGATTTCGGTGGAATAGTTTCATTGCCCTCGGTAGAATTTTGTAAAGAATTTCCTGCTTCAGGTTACTTCTTTCTCACTCGCTTCGGTCTGAGTATTTTTGAGAGACTTTCCTGCTTCAGGGATTAGATGATTATTAGCTCTACTTCGTTGTTGATAATGACTAGGCTATTGTTGTCGCTTTTCCTGTCGCTTGTATATATATATATATATATATATATATATATATATATATATATATATATATATATATATATATATATATATATATATACAGGGTGTATCAAAAAACGCAACCACTTAATATTCATGAATATCCTCTTTGTTTTACAACACGTTTGGCCCCTGGAATGGGAGAAAGCTTGTAATCATATTCTAGCGGCACAATCGTCGGTAAACAAAGTCGGGTGCGTAAACCAACGAGCTGAATTGAAAGTATTTAACGAGTAAAATTTTATTTACAATTTATTTTACAAGGTCGACAGTTAGCATTCAAGTTATCATGCAAGACAATAAAAACTCGTTGTTCGGTTGTTAGCTGCACCATTATTAGTTTAGCTGATTTGACTATCAGCAGTTGAACTGTACGATTAGAAGCCATTTTAAAATCCCAGGGGCATACCTTTCGTTCCGACCAGACAGTTCTTCGAGTGAAATGGAAGCATTGAATGCAATGGAACAATGCATTAAAACTGTGAGAGCATGGATGATTATTGACAAGATGAAAATGAATGATGGCAAAACGGAATTTATGACTATTGGGACTCGCCAACAACTTACGAAAGTTACTGTTGATAGATTAATCGTTGGAAGCCCTAGTATAACTGTAGTGAATGAGGCTAGAAATCTTGGAGTTTGGTTTGATTCGAATATGAATTCTAATGTTCATATTACTAAAACATGTAACCTGGCCTTTTACTTTCTGCATAATATACGACGTATTAGAAAGTACCTTACACACGAGTCTACGCAACAGCTTGTTCTTGCTCTGGTCATTGGACACTTGGATTATTGCAATAGCCTCTTTTATGGATTGCCGGCGAACCAAATTAACAAGTTACAGCGTGTTCAAAACGCAGCAGCTAGATTGGTGTCTAACACCCCTCGTTTTTGTCACATCTCTCCTGTCATGTACCAACTGCACTGGTTGCCGGTGAAGTACAGAATTATCTTTAAGATCATTTTAATTAGTTACATTTAAGGCCATGCAAGGCAATGCTCCAAGGTATATTTCAGATTTAATAAGTTTTAAACAACAATCCCGTTATAGCTTGCGCTCAAATAACGGGTGTTACCTTGGGTACCCTAAAGAGAGAACTAACAAAACTACAGGAGATAGAGCATTTGCCGCGGCCGCGCCAGCTCTGTGGAACTCACTACCAGTCTTAGAGCTGAGAACAGTTTGCTTAATTTTAAATCATCTTTAAAAACGTATCTTTTTAAATTAGCATATGAACAGTAGGTGTAGTTTTATCAAATATAGTTTTAGTTATTTGTAAATTAATACTGTACTTATATCTTGGTTGTATTTATCTTATTTCATGTAAAGCGCATTAGATCATATACATATTTTGCGCTATATAAATTTTAAATATATATATAATATATAATATATATATATATAATTTATATATAATATATAATTATATATATATATATATATATATTAATATATATTTAATATTATATATATATATTATATATATATATATATATATATATATATATGTATATATGAATCCTGATTAGTCTACCGTGATTAAAGGTTTCAGTTCAGTTCAGTTACGTACGCGCCGGTTTTCGGGTCGTTCGGACGCGGTTATATATCTATATTCGTTTTCTGGTCGGCTCGTTCGATCGCGGTTACATACGCCGGTTTTCGGCTCGTTCGGACGCGGTTACTATCCATATTAGGGCCAAGTTTTGTTTCTAATTTACATCCATGATCTATCAAATTGCCTTTCACATTCTTGGGCATCTCCTTCATTGCATGATGATTGATAATGTTCCAATCAGACAAGTTACTTTTACAAAATCTCTTGGTACATATATTGATGAAAATATGTCCTGGAAAATTCATGTAAGAAAACTGTGCAAAAAAGAGGTATAGGTGCCCTAAAACGTATAAGGCCTTTTGTTCCTCATGCCACACTGCGACTAATACACCTGCGAGGATACTTCTAAATCTCATCCTGCGACGATCTTTGAACAGATCATCCTGCGAGAATGCTTCAACATCTCGTCCTGCGACAATCCTTATTATTTATTACTCAATATTCTCAAAGCGAGGATAGTTTCATTATTTTCTTCGCCATTAATTTGATTATTTGCTTGTAACCCTATTTGGGCTACGCTAACCCAATAATTACTATACTATTTGGCTACGCTAACCCTAAAAGACCGTGTCGCTGGCTCAGCGAATGAATATATATGAATGAATATGAATTTTGACAGATGACAGCCAGAGTTCTCCATTGCTGACCTGGTCACATCTCGCAGCACCCTCCCAATGTTTTTGGCCCTTCTAACGGGTCTGCAAACAATCGTTGGAGTCACTCAGGAAAAAAGATTCAATACTCGTCCCCATTTATCTTTGCTGTACACCATCGTCAGTAGAAATGGTGAGTCACCATCATAAGTAGAAATTTTCATCACAAATATATGTATTAATTTAATATCTTAATGCATTTAAAATAGAACGATTTCATATTTTCGGGATTACTCCCGGATATGTTTGGAATTGCCGATTGTATAGATGCCGTTTGTAAAAATCATAAATAGTAGTCGTTTCGTCGATGATTTCTTCATTTCTTTAGCCCGATCTATTTCTCATATTTCTTTATTCCTTTTCCATTGATAACGCAGATATGCTGTGGAAAAAACATAATGTTTTGTTTATATAAATATAAACAAAAATTCTAACCAAAGCTTGATTTCAATAGGGGTACTTATTAATACGCCATGTATAGTATCAGCAATTTTTAAATCACTTGGATATATATGCATGAGGCTGATTTATGCTGAAATCTGTGATAGTAACCAATCAAATTACAGGAAAAAATAAAGCGAGGAATTATTGTTTACAATAAGATGATGAAAAACAGATTGCCTGATCTGAGTGATCTAATTACTTTGTGGTTATATAATTAAAACAAAAAAATAAGGTACTATAACATTCACCTACACTTAAATCTCTGAAATATTCATTGTAATCCTAAAACGAATGATAAAGAACAATACTAGTTTAAAACAAAAGCATGAATGAATTACTTGCGACTAACTTTGATCACCCTGTAGTACGTAACATTCGATCGACCTCAAAGCTTGCATGAGCGTGCATCATCAGACTTCAAAACAGGATCGGTCATCATGCACTTTCTTAATTTGTATAATTTCAAAGCGAAAATAAAACGAACTTACTATGGCATAACCAACTACAAAATGATTTGGGATTTCAAAACCAATATCTATAGGAAAGAGGTTTGTAATGTTAAAAAATATCGAAGAAGTTAATGTCAAACCAGAATGAATTAAGGAAAAATGACATAATAATAATGAATAGTATATTAAAAATTAGGAAATAACGAGAAGGGCATGAAACAAGAATTAAGAAATGACGAGAAGGGTATAAAGAGTTTGGCCATGTTTAAGCCCGTTAGTGTGTCCCGTTTCGCTGTGTCACAGACACTCGAGTTGGTATAAAATAGACGGTTAACTGACAAGCTATCATGCTTTTTAGTGCATGAAACTAATTATACTACCATGCACGTATTCTCTTTCTTAATTAGTATAATTTTAAACTCTTCAAAGATCAAGTCTTCGGTTTATGTTGTTCTTCTGAGTACGTTTTACCTTACACACTTACAATCAGGTCTGTAATTCGATTTTTTCATAGGTGTTCTTTTTACCAACAAACTTTAAAATAAAATAAAATATCTTTAGCAGCTAATAGTTAACATTCACCAAAGGCGTTAAACGAACGCAAATACAGTTTTACAACTCGGGGAAACGGTATATATATGTTTAGCACAAAGAAACTGGAAGTCGAAAGAGCGGCTGAAGTTAGTACGGAAGTTGAATGAACCGCTGAACGCCAACAAGATGGTCACAAATATGTCACATGCGACAACGATTTATTTCGATTCGCTAAAATGAAGATTGGCCATGGGAGGATAAGACTTGAACATGCAAGAAAAATTGAACTTTTGAAACTTATTCAATAGTATTCTATTTATATATAGCGATACAGAAATGCGCAATTGTTAAACAGCTCGGCTTGAAACTAAGTAAACACCAATTTCTGCGCTGTTCTGTACCATGCATGCATATACATGCATATAAAGTGAATAATAAACGGTATTCTGCATTGTTCTAAAATAATCGAGAAACATATACCTGACGACTTTAACCTGAGCCGGTTTAAATTGTGAAACAATTTGAAGCATCTTTTCCATCGTCTTTCCAGTATCAATAATATCCTAGATAAAAATTGTGAGACTACCTATATCATTCTTTTTATCCATCTTTCTATCTATGTATCTATCCACCAACTTAATATATGAATGCATGCCACAAATTGTTTTCGATAAAGTCTTAAAAGAAGCTTCGGGCATATAACAATTATATGCATGCCTATATATATGCAGAGGCATTGCTATGAGGCGCGGAACTAAAGAATTCCCAAGAAACCGACTTCTTATATAGGGCAAAATTGTTCACTATACGATTTACAGTGCCAACAAATATAGAAAGTATAACATTTAGAAAGTATAACAAAAAATACAATCGTTGGAAATAGACAATCATAAGACGCCATAATATTTAGGTGGGGTTACAGTGTATAATTCGATTTTCAGTATGACATAATTACTCCGCATAACAAAGAACTTTTCTGACAGTGACTTTGAAAATTGAAATGTGAAAACCTTAATGATTCTTATAATGAGGCTTATTTCTTTATTGCCGGAAAATCAAAAATATATTCGAGACACTTCTGGTGCCAATTGCAGGGGTGTACCGAGCAGGAGAGGGGTGCAGGGAGTGTGATACGCCTTTTTTGTCTCAAAATGGTCGGGAATTGAAGTTTCAAAATGGTCGGTAAATTGAATTCATGGCATTAAGCGACGAGAGCAATGGACCACCCATTAGATAA